CAAATCCTCCTTTCTAAGGAGAGGCCTATGTCTAGCAGTGGAAGAAGTTGGTGAACTGTATTTGTTAAGAGACAAAGGCTTTTAAGATGTATGTTCTTGTTGGTTTTCCCAATAAATAAAATTAAAAAAAAACACATCCGCTTTAAAATAACTTTGGCATTTAATAAAATTCGATTTTAGAACAATAACTAGTTAGTCACACAATACTATTAGGTATACTAAGTCAATAATAATACGACGCTATTATCATAATATTAAACACTAGCGTTCGCCCGCGGCTGTGCTCCCGTGTATATCGGTTATCACGGTTAAAAGTACCTAATGTTCTTCCTCAATAATCAAATTATCTCTATACCAAATTTCATCAGAATCGGTTCAGCGGTTTTTGATTCCCCTAACAAAATTCCACCAACTTTTCACTCCCTTCAAGGATGATTTCTTGGATAAAAACTATCCTATGTCTTTTCCCGGTACTCAATCTCTATACCAAATTTCATCTAAATAGCTGTTTAAGCGTGGAGTGGAACAAACAGACAGACACACTTTTGCAACAATAATATTAAGTATGGATTATATTATACAGTACTAGCTGATCCGGCAAACGTTGTATTGCAAAACAAAAAAAAATTAGGGATGGGTCACCCTTACCATTTAGGGGTATGAAAAATAGATGTAGGCCGACTCTCAGACCTACCCGATGTGCACACAAAATTTCATGAGAATCGGTCAAGCCGTTTCGGAGGAGTACGGGAACGAACATTGTGACACGAGAATTTTATATATAAAAAGATTAATTTTTAAATAAAACCGATGGTATTATAAACCTACCTGCTTATGCTGCTGTACGAAGAACGATTATATTTTGACCGGAATACTGGTCTAGTAGTTAATGGCCTGACTGTTAAGCCGGAGGTCGTGGGTTCGATTCAAATCATTGTGTGATGAGCAATTGGATCAGACGCTGTGTGAAAGTATTATTATTAAAAGAGTTTCTTTTAATTTAAAACATGGGTCAAGCTTTTTAACACCTTATTAATTTTTCATATCAGCCTTTAGCAGTCCACTGCTGCACGGGTTGGTACAGGGTTTGTTTCAAGTTTTTTTACTCTTTGCAGTGCCGTTATCCTGCGTAGTTTGCTCCTTCCTCCTTAGTCGGCTCTTACAACACCAATGAGATGAGGGGTGGTGACACTCCGTATTCTCAATCCATCACTACACGGAATAGAATAATATAAATAGAATTAATCATATAATTAACTACAACCTAACATTTTGAAGTAAGTTAAGTTAACTCCTGATGTTGTTGTCGGTTACTGCTTGAGCAAATTTTTTATACATGAATATGATAGATAGATAGATAGAAAACTCTTTATTTTTATACCGTTTTACAAGTAATATGATACATATTTATTGCTATTTATTAATTGCTAATTTATTACTATTGCTTATTTATCCTTATTGCTAAGAGCAATCTCTTTCAGGCTACCTTAGGATGGATTAAAATGTTTTCTAAGGACAATAGCAGTGGAAGGTGCAATGAGTTTTGTCAGGTTATACATACCAACAAATATACATACATATTCACACAAATCTATACATAACTAATTAAGTATATCACATAAATGAAGAAAAGAAAAAAAGGAACATTCTTATAATGTTTTAATACGTAACTAACTTAATCAGGATACATATAAAATTCTCGAACCATTTTCTTAAAGTTTATCGTTTGTTCTTTTTTTTATGTTTTGCGCTCGCCTGATGTTATTAGAATATATTATGTCTATTATAATATATTTTTTACTGTTTCAAACCACCATAACTTCAATGCAATTAATTTATACACCAATGTCATCGTTTTACCTAACTTAATTTTTTTATTAAATTAAGTTAGGTAAAACGAAAAATAAAAAAAGCTCGTCACCAAATACTTAGAGTATAGTTAATATTTCATTATTAATAAAGGAATTAAAAAAAGCAAGTAATAAATCATTATTAATTAAAGATTAATAGAGAAACAAATGCGTTCGTAACTTTGATTAATTTAATGTACTTATAAAATAGCTTTAGTGGTGTGAATAACCTCTGAAACATATAAATTTTATCGAAATACTTGTTTTATGTGTATATTTAAAACTAGCTTTTGCCCGAGGTTCTGCCTGCGTGTATGTCAGTTATCGCGGTAAAAAGTAGCCTGTGTTACTCAATGGTTTTCGACTCAGAATTATGGTCTGAATACTTTCAGCATTTGTTACAACGTCCCTTACACCCTGTATACTTTGAAGCGAAGTTCCTTATCGCGCGTTACACGCTCTGAGCGTATGGAGTTAGACCGAAAAATGTGTAACAAGACTTTTTCCGACACTCCTTGCAGAACTTCATTCCGAACAGGGGTCCATAGACCTCACACGCCGTTTTTTTCGTAAATACAAAAATAATGTGCATGGAAAACACCCAAACTCTGAAACAAATATTTGCAAATCATATAAACATTTAGTTCGACCCGGGAATCGAACTGCACCACCGAGACAGTCAAGAATTAATAAAGATCTGATTGATGACCTTTAACGCTTATTAACAAGTTTCATATTAAATATGGTAAGTTTGTCTCATGATGTCATATAAAATACAGCATGCTTAATTTAGAATGAATAAAATTAGATTATTTCTTAGGGAAATATTCTTCCGCGAAGGAGACGGCGGAGCGGGACCCGGGCCTGGCGGGCCGGGAGAGTCCTAAACCTCTCCCGGCCCGCCAGGCCCGGGAACGGGCCAGGTACCGCAGGCGACTTAGGCGCCGGAGGTCGCAGAACGACCTCCGTCCTCCATAAGCGCAGGCCTGGGGGTGACAGGTGAGGCCATCTGTCACCCTAGCAGAAGCAGGCCAGGGTGACGGCGAGCGCGTTGCGAAGCGCGCTCGCTTCCAGGGAGCACAGGGAACATGGGGTTCCCACACGGGGGGGGGTCGTCTACTCGTCTGTAGATGACCCGAGGTATGTCGGGGCACCAGGGACTTCCTTTCTAGGGTATACCTGGTTCCCCGGCTATTAGTACCCGAGACGGCGTGCGGTTTTAGTCGGTTCGAGTCCGACATGCAGGTGGTATCAGAGGGGATTTCCGCACGAAAAAAAAAAAAAAGGGAAATATTCTTGTCTTAGTGTAACAATATATTATTTATGTACTGGTCAATTTCATTCGTCATGAACATCTGATCACGTATAACAGTGGTAGCTCTCATAAAAAAGAGCCTATGTTACTCTCATAAGTTGGGTTGTGTCAGAAACTGCAAAGTGGTGCCCGGAGAACCCGTAGTATTGCAACATAAATTGCTGGTAATGGAGGTTAAATGGAGGATTTTGAGTAAGAGTAGGAAGAACCGACCTTCTCCAAAAATCACTTACTTACTGGGCCAACCACAAATAAAACTGGGATAAGGGTAGGCACATGATGTTCAGTTCAATTATTTTTTTGTAAGAAGGGGCAGACGAGCATACGGGTCACCTGATGGAAAGTGACCATCGCCGCCCATGAACGTCTGCAACACAGGAGTCACAAACGCGTTGCCAGCCTTTTAGGAAGGGGTACGCTCTTTTCTTGAAGGTTTGAAGGTCGTATCGGTCCGGCAATACGGCAGACGATAACCCGTTCCACAGATTGGTTGTGCGGGGCAAAAAGTGTAGTGTCGTGTCAGCCGTCTTAGCTTAATAGTCTTCTAATAAAGCTAATAACTTGTAAGATATAATACTAATAATATATTCTACAACATTCACACAACGACATCTAGTCCCAAACTAAGCAGAGCTTGTACTATGGCTACTGGACAACTGATATAAATACATATGTACTTTTTTTGGAAATAAATACATATTAAACACCTGGGTGTTTCTATGTATAATATGTCTTTCTGTAACACTCTGGATATGTCAAGTTTAGACTAAAAGTAAACCAATTTATTCTTTATTCTATATTACCTCTAGTTGACTGACTACAAATGTAATAAATTTCACTTTTTAATTCGGTTTGCTTTTAAAATATCGTTCCTAGATCATGTAAACTATAATTTTGATGTTTACCGTGGCAGAGTTATGCTTCGTCACATAATGGGCTTAGAGGAATTATACCGCAGGCTCACAGAAAACCGATTTTAAGTACTTATTTTGTTGCTTTTCACCGTGTAAGTGCTAACCGTTAACCTGACTTGACCCCCTCCCCATAATTCTGGAGGGCACTCATATGGCGCTTTATCTCTTAAGTGTGTCCATGGTCGCGATGTTCGCCTAACAATAATATTAAGTATGGATTATATTATATAGTACTAGCTGATCCGGCAAACGTTGTATTGCAAAACAAAAAAAAATTATTGATGGGTCACCCTTACCATTTAGGGGTATGAAAAATAGATGTTGGCCGATTCTCAGACCTACCCGATGTGCACACAAAATTTCATGAGAATCGGTCAAGCCGTTTCGGAGGAGTACGGGAACGAACATTGTGACACGAGAATTTTATATATAAGAAGATTAATTAAGGACCCCCTCCCCATAATTCTGGAGGGCACTCATATGGCGGCATTGCACTTTATCTCTTAAGTGTGTCCATGGTCGCGATGTTCGCCTAACCTTCCTATACCATAAAAATGCTCAGGATCTGTAAAATGATGATAGAAATAAAACAGATTTTTTTTTTACAGTTTATTAAAACAATGTTCGTATTAAAATAATCATTTTGTTAACAAATAAACATAATAAGCATAATATGCTTCGTGTAGTTCGTATAAAAATTATCATTTCGTTAACAAATAAACATAGATGCATATTATTGCCCACAATCATCAAACCTCACTTATAAGCACAGTATTGTTTGTTTAACATCATTCAAATTGGAAATCACTTAAAGACGATGCCGCACACACTGAAATTGCACTCATTAATTAGTTTTAACTGTTAATTAACACAAAACATTCAATAGATCAAAAACTATTCATTCAGTCTATATGGCACTGTTCAATAATGATATCCAGCTTTAATATCAAAACTAGGAGGATCTCTGGGTCCTCCGAAAGTTTCGCCTTTTCCTATAAAACTGGCGAGCTCGCTACTTTTTTCTGTAACAGAAATTGGAATTTCAGCACCAGGTACGGTGTTGGCTACTTTGGAAACACTTTGATCAAAAATTGAATGGGCAACAGATAGTAAATCAGTTGATGGTGTTAATTTGAAAACTTTTGTTTGTTTGTTAACAGTTTGCGTTAGAGAACCAACGAATGGTTGAAGACCGTTTGTGCCGATATTCGTAGTTTGATACTTTGTTTTGGTGTTTCTAAATGACCCAGAGCTTGCAGAGGTACTAGCAGCAGATTCATGATTCTGTCCTATTCCTACACCAGAATGTCTATGAAGAGGCGTTGGTATGCTATCGAACGGTTTATTTGCTGTATTGCCTTGGGACGTATACGACTGACTGAAAGATTTACTAAATGTTGACTGAGGTTTGTAATTTAAAAGATCACGCAAAGAGAAAGATAAGTGAGGCTGTTGGGAACCAGAACCAGTATGTTTTTGACCAGACAGTCCTTGTGATCCTGTTACTAAACCTAGTAGGGTATCTTGGTAAGAGCCATTATGCCTGCCAAATGATTGTTTGTCATATGGAGAATCAAATGTGCTACCAAGGTGAATTTTTGAGAAACTGGATCCTGTTGTTTGAGGATAAACAAAAGATTTTGAACCTAATTGTCCTGTTTGCTCTGCTTGGTCTTTCAAAATGCTGCTAACTGAAAAAGAATTGCTTTCAGTTGATTGTGGTTTTTTGATGAGCAACGAGCCAGCTGATTTACCAAACTGAGTATCTTCATTCCCGAAACCCGTTTGTAAAGTTCCTAAGAACTTTTGTCCAACTACAGTTCTAACTTCCGATTTAACTTCAGCTCCAGTTGTTGAACTATACTGTGATTGTTGAAAAGTATTGTAATCGGACCGTGAGCCAAACGGTTTTTTACGATATTCAGAAATAGGTTGTACTGATATAGAATTAATAGTACCATAAACTTTCTGTGAATTCAGACCACTCTGACTTCCGAACGTGCTACCAATCTGAGTTTGTGAGAAACCGGATCCTATAATTTGTGAAGAACCAAAAGGTTTGACGCTCGATTGAGATGTTTGTACTGATTGCTCTTTTCTTTCACCAATATTGGACGAGGAACTACTGTGGGTGGTTACCGACTTTTCCGAAATTGTTCCAGTTGATACAGGCTTCTTACCAAACTGAGATTCAGATGTTGAGCTATATTGGGACTGCTGCGAGTTCTTGTTGCTGTCCTGTGATCCAGATTGCTTTACATCTTTTTGATAACCATGCTGCACTTGAGAAGTTGTGGAGGAAATAGACCCTACAACTTTTTGTAAATTCAAACCACTCTGACTTCCAAACGTGCTACCAAACTGAGTTTTTTCTATATCAGAGCCTGTCTTCTTCTGACCAACAACAGGGAACGTGTGAGAAACTGTAGCAGTTAATTCTGGCTTCTTACCAAACTGAGATCCAGATGTGGAGCTATATTGGGACTGCTGCGAATATTTATGGTTGTCCTGTGACCCCCACTGCTTTGCATTGTTTTGAGAATTTTGCTGAACTTGAGATATTGTTGAGGAAATAGACCCAACAACTTTCTGTGAATTCAGACCACTCTGACTTCCGAACGTGCTACCAAACTGAGTTTGTGAGAAACCAGATCCTGTACGTTGTGTAAAACCAGGTTTGACATTCGATTGAAATGTTGGAATTGATTGATCTTTTGTTCCACCATTATTCGACGAGGTACTACTGTGGGTGGTTACCGACTTTGCACTAGTTAATGCGCTGGAAGTAAAACCAAAGTGTGGCTTTTCATTTGAAGCGCTTGTCTGTGAAGTTACTGTTATCTTTTGGCCAACAACAGGGAATGTGTGAGAAATTGTCCCAGTTGATTCAGGTTCCTTACCAAACTGAGATCCAGATGTTGATCGATATTCTGACTGCTGCGAATACTTAATGTTCTCCTGTGACCCCAATTGCTTAACATCTTTTTCAGAACCTTGCTGAACTTGAGAACTAGTGGAGGAAATAGACCCTACAACTTTCTGTGAATTCAGACCACTCTGACTTCCAAACGCGTTACCAAACTGAGTTTTTTCATTATCAGAGCCTGTCTTCTTCTGACCAACAACAGGGAACGTGTGAGAAACTGTCCCAGTTGATTCAGGCTTCTTGCCAAACTGAGATCCAGACATTGAGCTATATTGGGACTGCTGCGAGTACTTATTGCTGTCCTGTGATCCCGATTGCTTTACATCTTTTTGAGAACCATGCTGAACTTGAGAATTTGTGAAGGAAATAGACCCTACAACTTTCTGTGAATTCAGACCACTCTGACTTGCAAACGTGCTACCAATCTGAGTTTGTGAGGAACCGAATCCTGTTCTTTGTGAAGAACCAAAAGGTTTTACGCTCATTTGAGATGACTGTACCGATTGACCTTTAGATCCACCATTATATGATGAGGCAATGCGTTGGGTGGACCCAGGCTTTGCTCTATCAAATGAGCTAGATGGATAACCGAATTGAGTTTTTTCATTCGCAGAGCCTGATAGTGATGTTACTGTCGTCGTCTGACCAACAACAGGGAATGTGTGAGATATTGTCCCACTTGATTCTTCTTTTTTCTTACCAAACTGAGATCCAGATAATGAGCTATTTGAGCGAACGTGCTACCGAACTGAGTGTGTGAGGAACCGAATCCTGTTCTTTGTGAAGAACCAAAAGGTTTGACGCTCGATTGGGCTGACTGTACCGATTGACCTTTAGATCCACCATTATATGATGAGGAAATGCTTTGGGTGGTTACTGACTTTGCACTAGTTAATGAGCTGGAAGTAAAACCAAAGCGTTGTTTTTCATTCGAAGAACTTGTGTGTGTGGTTACTGTTGTCTTTTGGCCAACAACAGGGAATATGCGTGAAATTGTCCCAGTTGATTCAGGTTTCTTACCATACTGAGATCCAGATGTTGAGCTATATTGTGACTGCTGCGAATTCTTAAGGGTGTCTTGTAATCCTGATTGCTTTGCATCGTTTTGAGATTTTTGCTGAACTTGAGATATTGAGGACGCAATAGACCCTACAACTTTCTGTGAATTCAGACCACTCTGACTTCCGAACGTGCTACCAAACTGAGTTTTTTCATTATCAGAGCCTGTCTTCTTCTGACCAACAACAGGGAACGTGTGAGAAACTGTAGCAGTTAATTCTGGCTTCTTACCGAACTGAGATCCAGATGTAGAGCTATATTGGGACTGCTGCGAATATTTATGGCTGTCCTGTGACCCCCATTGCTTTGCATTGTTTTGAGAATTTTGCTGAACTTGAGATATTGAGGACGCAATAGACCCTACAATTTTCTGTGAATTCAGACCACTCTGACTTCCGAACGTGCTACCAAACTGAGTTTTTTCATTATCAGAGCCTGTCTTCTTCTGACCAACAACAGGGAACGTGTGAGAAACTGTAGCAGTTAATTCTGGCTTCTTACCAAACTGAGATCCAGATGTTAAGCTATATTGGGACTGATGCGAATACTTATTGCTGTCCTGTGACCCCCATTGCTTTGCATCGTTTTGAGATTTTTGCTGAACTTGAGATATTGAGGAGGAAATAGACCCTACAACTTTCTGTGAATTCAGACCACTCTGACTTCCGAACGTGCTACCAATCTGAGTTTGTGAGAAACCGGATCCTATAATTTGTGACGAACCAAAAGGTTTGACGCTCGATTGAGATGTTTGTACTGATTGCTCTTTTGTTCCACCATTATTGGACGAGGAACTACTGTGGGTGGTTACCGACTTTTCCGAAATTGTCCCAGTTGATTCAGGTTTCTTACCAACTTGAGATCCAGATGTTGAGCTATATTGGGACTGCTGCGAGTTCTTGTTGCTGTCCTGTGATCCCGATTGCTTTACATCTTTTTGAGAACCATGCTGAACTTGAGAAGTTGTGGAAGAAATAGACCCTACAACTTTTTGTAAATTCAAACCACTCTGACTTCCAAACGTGCTACCAAACTGAGTTTTTTCATTAACAGAGCCTGTCTTCTTCTGACCAACAACAGGGAACGTGTGAGAAACTGTCGCAGTTAATTCTGGCTTCTTACCGAACTGAGATCCAGATGTAGAGCTATATTGGGACTGCTGCGAATATTTATGGCTGTCCTGTGACCCCCATTGCTTTGCATTGTTTTGAAAATTTTGCTGCACTTGAGATATTGAGGACGCAATAGACCCTACAACTTTCTGTGAATTCAGACCACTCTGACTTCCGAACGTGCTACCAAACTGAGTTTTTTCATTATCAGAGCCTGTCTTCTTCTGACCAACAACAGGGAACGTGTGAGAAACTGTAGCAGTTAATTCTGGCTTCTCTGGCTTCTTACCAAACTGAGATCCAGATGTTAAGCTATATTGGGACTGCTGCGAATACTTATTGCTGTCCTGTGACCCCCATTGCTTTGCATCGTTTGAGATTTTTGCTGAACTTGAGATATTGAGGAGGAAATTGACCCTACAACTTTCTGTGAATTCAGACCACTCTGACTTCCGAACGTGCTACCAATCTGAGTTTGTGAGAAACCGGATCCTATAATTTGTGAAGAACCAAAGGTTTGACGCTCGATTGAGATGTTTGTACTGATTGCTCTTTGTTCCACCATTATTGGACGAGGAACTACTGTAGGTGGTTACCGACTTTTCCGAAATTGTCCCAGTTGATTCAGGTTTCTTACCAAATTGAGATCCAGATGTTGAGCTATATTGGGACTGCTGCGAGTTCTTGTTGCTGTCCTGTGATCCCGATTGCTTTACATCTTTTTGAGAACCATGCTGAACTTGAGAAGTTGTGGAAGAAATAGACCCTACAACTTTTGTAAATTCAAACCACTCTGACTTCCAAACGTGCTACCAAACTGAGTTTTTTCATTAACAGAGCCTGTCTTCTTCTGACCAACAACAGGGAACGTGTGAGAAACTGTAGCAGTTAATTCTGGCTTCTTACCAAACTGAGATCCAGATGTTAAGCTATATTGGGACTGATGCGAATACTTATTGCTGTCCTGTGACCCCCATTGCTTTGCATCGTTTTGAGATTTTTGCTGAACTTGAGATATTGAGGAGGAAATAGACCCTACAACTTTCTGTGAATTCAGACCACTCTGACTTCCGAACGTGCTACCAATCTGAGTTTGTGAGAAACCGGATCCTATAATTTGTGACGAACCAAAAGGTTTGACGCTCGATTGAGATGTTTGTACTGATTGCTCTTTTGTTCCACCATTATTGGACGAGGAACTACTGTGGGTGGTTACCGACTTTTCCGAAATTGTCCCAGTTGATTCAGGTTTCTTACCAACTTGAGATCCAGATGTTGAGCTATATTGGGACTGCTGCGAGTTCTTGTTGCTGTCCTGTGATCCCGATTGCTTTACATCTTTTTGAGAACCATGCTGAACTTGAGAAGTTGTGGAAGAAATAGACCCTACAACTTTTTGTAAATTCAAACCACTCTGACTTCCAAACGTGCTACCAAACTGAGTTTTTTCATTAACAGAGCCTGTCTTCTTCTGACCAACAACAGGGAACGTGTGAGAAACTGTCGCAGTTAATTCTGGCTTCTTACCGAACTGAGATCCAGATGTAGAGCTATATTGGGACTGCTGCGAATATTTATGGCTGTCCTGTGACCCCCATTGCTTTGCATTGTTTTGAAAATTTTGCTGCACTTGAGATATTGAGGACGCAATAGACCCTACAACTTTCTGTGAATTCAGACCACTCTGACTTCCGAACGTGCTACCAAACTGAGTTTTTTTCATTATCAGAGCCTGTCTTCTTCTGACCAACAACAGGGAACGTGTGAGAAACTGTAGCAGTTAATTCTGGCTTCTTACCAAACTGAGATCCAGATGTTAAGCTATATTGGGACTGCTGCGAATACTTATTGCTGTCCTGTGACCCCCATTGCTTTGCATCGTTTTGAGATTTTTGCTGAACTTGAGATATTGAGGAGGAAATAGACCCTACAACTTTCTGTGAATTCAGACCACTCTGACTTCCGAACGTGCTACCAATCTGAGTTTGTGAGAAACCGGATCCTATAATTTGTGAAGAACCAAAAGGTTTGACGCTCGATTGAGATGTTTGTACTGATTGCTCTTTTGTTCCACCATTATTGGACGAGGAACTACTGTAGGTGGTTACCGACTTTTCCGAAATTGTCCCAGTTGATTCAGGTTTCTTACCAAATTGAGATCCAGATGTTGAGCTATATTGGGACTGCTGCGAGTTCTTGTTGCTGTCCTGTGATCCCGATTGCTTTACATCTTTTTGAGAACCATGCTGAACTTGAGAAGTTGTGGAAGAAATAGACCCTACAACTTTTTGTAAATTCAAACCACTCTGACTTCCAAACGTGCTACCAAACTGAGTTTTTTCATTAACAGAGCCTGTCTTCTTCTGACCAACAACAGGGAACGTGTGAGAAACTGTCGCAGTTAATTCATGGCTTCTTACCAAACTGAGAATCCAGATGTGAGCTATATTGGACTGATGCGAATACTTATTGCTGTCCTGTGACCCCATTGCTTTGCATCGTTTGAGATTTTTGCTGAACTTGAGATATTGAGGAGGAAATAGACCCTACAACTTTCTGTGAATTCAGACCACTCTGACTTCCGAACAGTGCTACCAACTCTGAGTTTGTGAGAAACCGGATCCTATAATTTGTGACGAACCAAAAGGTTTGACGCTCGATTGAGATGTTTGTACTGATTGCTCTTTTGTTCCACCATTATTGGACGAGGAACTACTGTGGGTGGTTACCGACTTTTCCGAAATTGTCCCAGTTGATTCAGGTTTCTTACCAACTTGAGATCCAGATGTTGAGCTATATTGGGACTGCTGCGAGTTCTTGTTGCTGTCCTGTGATCCCGATTGCTTTACATCTTTTTGAGAACCATGCTGAACTTGAGAAGTTGTGGAAGAATAGACCCTACAACTTTTTGTAAATTCACAACCACTCTGACTTCCAAACGTGCTACCAAACTGAGTTTTTTCATTAACAGAGCCTGTCTTCTTCTGACCAACAACAGGGAACGTGTGAAGCTCTTTTGTTCCACCATTATTGGACGAGGAACTACTGTAGGTGGTTACCGACTTTTCCGAAATTGTCCCAGTTAATTCAGGCTTCTTACCAAACTGAGATCCAGATGTGGAGCTATATTGGGACTGCTGCGAATATTTATGGCTGTCCTGTGACCCCCATTGCTTTGCATTGTTTTGAAAATTTTGCTGCACTTGAGATATTGAGGACGCAATAGACCCTACAACTTTCTGTGAATTCAGACCACTCTGACTTCCGAACGTGCTACCAAACTGAGTTTTTTCATTATCAGAGCCTGTCTTCTTCTGACCAACAACAGGGAACGTGTGAGAAACTGTAGCAGTTAATTCTGGCTTCTTACCAAACTGAGATCCAGATGTTAAGCTATATTGGGACTGCTGCGAATACTTATTGCTGTCCTGTGACCCCCATTGCTTTGCATCGTTTTGAGATTTTTGCTGAACTTGAGATATTGAGGAGGAAATAGACCCTACAACTTTCTGTGAATTCAGACCACTCTGACTTCCGAACGTGCTACCAATCTGAGTTTGTGAGAAACCGGATCCTATAATTTGTGAAGAACCAAAAGGTTTGACGCTCGATTGAGATGTTTGTACTGATTGCTCTTTTGTTCCACCATTATTGGACGAGGAACTACTGTAGGTGGTTACCGACTTTTCCGAAATTGTCCCAGTTGATTCAGGTTTCTTACCAAATTGAGATCCAGATGTTGAGCTATATTGGGACTGCTGCGAGTTCTTGTTGCTGTCCTGTGATCCCGATTGCTTTACATCTTTTTGAGAACCATGCTGAACTTGAGAAGTTGTGGAAGAAATAGACCCTACAACTTTTTGTAAATTCAAACCACTCTGACTTCCAAACGTGCTACCAAACTGAGTTTTTTCATTAACAGAGCCTGTCTTCTTCTGACCAACAACAGGGAACGTGTGAGAAACTGTCGCAGTTAATTCAGGCTTCTTACCAAACTGAAATCCAGATGTGGAGCTATATTGGAACTGCTGCGAATATTTATGACTGTCCTGTGACCCCCATTGCTTTGCATTGTTTTGAGAATTTTGCTGCACTTGAGATATTGAGGACGCAATAGACCCTACAACTTTCTGTGAATTCAGACCACTCTGACTTCCGAAAGTGCTACCAAACTGAGTTTTTTCATTATCAGAGCCTGTCTTCTTCTGACCAACAACAGGGAACGTGTGGGAAACTGTAGCAGTTAATTCTGGCTTCTTACCAAACTGAGATCCAGATGTTAAGCTATATTGGGACTGCTGCGAATACTTATTGCTGTCCTGTGACCCCCATTGCTTTGCATCGTTTTGAGATTTTTGCTGAACTTGAGATATTGAGGAGGAAATAGACCCTACAACTTTCTGTGAATTCAGACCACTCTGACTTCCGAACCTGCTACCAATCTGAGTTTGTGAGAAACCGGATCCTATAATTTGTGAAGAACCAAAAGGTTTGACGCTCGATTGAGATGTTTGTACTGATTGATCTTTTGTTCCACCATTATTGGACGAGGAACTACTATGGGTGGTCACCGACTTTTCTGAAATTGTCCCAGTTGATTCAGATTTCTTACCGAACTGAGGTCCAGATGTTGAGCTATATTGTGACTGCTGCAAATACCTAAGGGTGTCCCGTAACCCTGATTGCTTTACATTTTTTTGAGAATTTAGCTGAACTTGAGAAGTTGTAGAGGAAATAGAACCTACAACTTTCTGTGAATTCAGACCGCTCTGACTTTCAAATGTGCTACCGAACTGAGTGTGTGAGGAACCGAATCCTGTATTCTGTGATGAACCAAAAGGTTTCACTCTCATTTGAGATGACTGTACGGATTGACCTTTGGATCCACCACTATATGATGAGGAAATGCTTTGTGTGGACCCAGGTTTTGCACTATTCAATGAGCTAGATGGAAAACCAAACTGAGCTTTTACATTGGCAGAGCCTGAGTGTGATGTTACTGTGGGCTTCTGACCAACAATAGGAAATGTTTGAGAAGTTTTCCAAGTTAATTCTGGTTTATTACCAAACTGAGATCCAGATGTGGAACTATATTCTAACTGCTGGAAAGACTTATGGATGGGCTGTGACTCAGGAGACTTTTCGTCTTTTGGTGTAGTATGCTGAACTTGAGACGGTGTAGAGGACATAAACCCTATTCCTTTCTGTGAATTCAGACTGCTTTGACTTCTAAATGTGTTACCGAACTGAATTTGTGCGAAACGGGATCCTGTACTTTGTGGAGAATCAAATGGTTTGACGTTTGATTGAGATTTTTGTGTAGATTGCCCTTCTGATCTACTATTATTGGATGAGGAACTACTGTGAGTGGTTACAGACTTCGCATTATTTATTGAGCTAAATGGAAACCCAAATTGATTGTTTTGACTGCCTGAGACAATGTTCGATATTGATTTTGCTTCAGGCATCTTCTCAAATGCGGCAGGTGTAGTAGGAATCCCTATAGTCAGTGGCTTTTCAAGAAACTTGGAACCAGACATGCTACCAAACTGAGTTGGTATGACACTGAATTCGGAAGATTTTTGATTTGATTGATTATGGACTAAAAGTTTCTGATCAGAAAGGAAAGTAGACTTATGAGAAAGTGAATCTTGATCTCCATTAGATGAAAATGAACCTTTATTTGATGATAATTGAGCAAAATTTGTAGAAGGTTTAAGAAAAGCAGAAGTGAAAGAAGGCACATAAGTCTGTGTTAGAACTTTGTAATGTGAAGACGTTAAACCTTGGTGTTGTCTGTATTGGGGTGATATAATAGGTTTATTTAAATCAAGATTAAGGGAATTTTTGATGGGAAAATGGAGTCCTTGAAAATTTACAAGTGGGGCTGCTTTTAATGGAGAAGAATTTGTGGAAAATTTGACACCTTCATAACCAGATAGTTTCTGTCTGTTATCAACCACCGTATAGCCAGGATAAAATGGACTAGTTAAAAAATATGAACCGAATTTGGAATCCTCAGAGTTTTGCCCAGCTTGATTGAAATTACCTGTATTAAATGCATTGGTGCACTGTGTGGAACCGGGTACTTGTTGGCCTGGATTTGGTGTTCCAACTGAAGATGTTGAGGCAGAGGTAGAAACTGAGGATTGATGATTGACGACATTAGATTCACCATGTTTCTCTGCGTGGATTCCAAAATGTTGCGTTTTCTCTTGATTTACTCCATAAGAACCGGCAGTCTGAAAACCCCCTGTTACACCAATCTTACCCACATCGTATAGAAATTCCGGTGTGTTTAGTGTTTCAGTTTGACCGTTTAAACCAAAACCATCAAATTTATTTTCAATTGATTGTCCTGCCGTAGATATGCTTTGACCATTTCCAATGGAACCTTGGACAACAGTGGATCCCTGACCTACTAAATTAGGTTTAAGTATTGAATCGCCACTGTTTATAGATAGGTTTGTCTTCTCTTCACCATTGCACTTTGCATTATCACTCTTGTCATTGTTATTTTGAACGTTGTACGAGCCTGTAAATAAAAAGGAAACTTGTGAACGATTTTTCAACGAATGTATTATGTCAGATGACAAAGACCCTTAACGTGTGACGATAAGGAAAGTGATGACGAATGGAGATGAAAGAGTCTTTAATAAAATGGTTGATGATGAGCTTAATTAATGTTTATACTGAATGCCTTTTATTATAATATACTTTGAATGATAATACGATATGGCATCAACAAAAGTGCGTAATACTTCGTTTGAAGATAATAGTTTTGAAAAAAGATTTAAGTAATTTTTGCCAAGTACTTGGGGACGAATATTCGTTCTTTTTACTTCTCATTCTTTTTAAACATTGTGTTTTTGCATAAATTCATCGTTGGCTATCTAGCACCGAAGATTTTACACAAGGATTTTTAATAATGACTCCAATGTGATGAAAAAAGTATTACAACAACACGACGTTTTTTCGTTTGTTTTTAGAAGAAGAAACATCGATGTGTTATAACACTTTTTTTATATTGAAAATACTTCGACATTATACGATTAATAAACTTGAAAAAATAAAAATAATTAACATGACACATATAAACAAATATAAAATTGTATAAAATACGAAATATGTGTACAGGCTGAGTCAAATATGATAAATATTATATTTATGATATTTTTATTTTTTGTTTTGTTTAGGCAATAAAAACGTGAATATAACTATGTATGTGTTAAAGACTCGCGAAACCAGCACCCTCTTATTCTAAATATCCTTATATCCGTTAATATTATTAATAAAAATATGATCTTAGTTGTTTATGAGTCGCGGTTACTTTGTAATCGATCATCATGAAATAGTATTTACTTAAGGGTACATAAAAACACGTGATTAGTATCAGTCAATGAAGAAAAAATGTAATACTTAAAAGCGACAGAATATTGACTTTCACGCAAGTGAACTGTCTCGGTCAAAGCTAGATAGCTTATTTTCGTGGACTTCGTGATCAAACAATTTTGATAATTTGTTGATCTGATCATTTATGGATGGTATTTTTCATATGAAAGACATTTCTTTTAAGATTTCATTAAAACATTCAATTTTTATTGATGTGTATTTATATCATCTGAAATATTTAATGTTAGAAACATCGACTAGAAGAAAATCGCACAGAAGTAAAAGAACAAACTAAGTGGTGCTATTAAGCAAAGCTCAAACGCTGCAGAGTCATGGCAATTATTTTATCTCTTCTGATGTGATTCTTTCATGGTCTAATACACCACTTTCTGGAAATGCAATATGCCAATGGTATGATGTTCATTGCGAAAGAGTACGAATAAATACTTTAAGAAATGATACCAGATTAGGTTAGTTTTCTTCATCACATATGATATTTTGAGTTTAAATCGAAAGAATACCGATGAAAAATTATGTATAAATAAAAAAAACATGAAGAAAAAACCTTGGGAGGTATTAGCGTCTTGCGTAACAAGAGCCGCTAAAATACCCCATATTTTTACCAATAGCAAGCAACATGCGTCACTCTTCTAAAACAGCTGCAGACCACGTGGTTTCAAGAAGTTGCAGAAATTAAAAGACACCTGTATACATTAGGTGTAAATAATTCAATTAAATAAATATGTAAAATAAAATATATATAAATTCAAGGTTTAATAGAACAGTGTAGTCAAATATGTTTAGTCGATAAATAATTTCATTACAGTTTTTCTTTACATTTTTGTCTTCTTAATAACATATTCCAGATCCAGAAGATCCAGAAGTTATAATAGAAACAATAATATAAACGTGTAATGTGTTGTAACCAACATTGATACTTTTAAAAACATTAAAATAATAAAAAGCTTAAAAATATAATTTAGTTATTAAATGCAGAAAAAATTGAAGTTTGAATTCAATTTTGTTGTAAATTAGAATTAATACGAAGTCTAATTGTTAAATACTTTTGGTTTTTATAATAAATGTAAAGTCCATTTTTACATATGTAAATTTGTGTTTACTTATGTTTATTTACATATGTATATTTAGTATTTATGTATTTATTTCATATATTTACATAGTACTTACAAAATGTAATATTTTTATTATTTTTCTATAACGATTAAAACCAGTTAACGAGTACGACTACGAGTTAACTACTATACTATAGTCTATAGTTAACTACTATACGTTTTAAAATATTAATTATGTTTATACTAAATACAACAGTACAATAATTGTCCTAGAAAATATAATATAAATTATATGTTACTAAAATAAAATCTTTTTTTTAAACAGAGAGAGAGAGAGAGAGCCAACTACTAAACTAAAAAAATCTATATGAAAATGCAATTTAAAATCAATGTCACAATAAACAAATTAACTTACTTCTTTATTTACATTAATAAAATTTCATTTACTTATTTCATATTACAGTATTTTTATTATTTTTATTTACTTAAATGCATATACTAGTGTAAATACAAATATGATTTTTAAAAACTATTAAAGCTTAAAAAATATCACTTATTTCAATGTGAGTTACTTAATAAAAATAAATCTAAAAATAAATAATATTAAATTAATAAACATAAAGGTGTTTCTACTCCTCGCTGTTGTATTGTGGTAACCATAGAGATATAATCATATTGAGAACACGGGGTTACAGCTTTCTGTAAGTGTAAGTGATACAGGCAACAAGAGAAATGGATGCTCAAGAGTTTCTTCTGTCTCTGTTCATATTCCCCAGCCAGTCACAGAGCTCGATTAGAAGGTGATAGAGGCATCTTTTAAAATGGACTAATACCTCCATCACGCCCACCACTGTAACTCCTGTACACCAGGATCAACAGCTGTGACCCACAAAAAAATTAAACCCGCAACGAAATTAATCAGAAGAAAATTGGAGGAGTTCGAAATACAGTAAATCCACTTCCCTCCTTAGCAAAGCAAAGCGGAAGATAATGGCATCTACCTATTATTCATCTCTCTCCTTGCCTATATTGCAAGATTAGGGCTCTTGTTCACTCTATGCTTATAGAAGGTGCTCAGAAGGATTAGGTTTAAGTTTTTTAATTCAACCAATTTTAAACTAGCCTTTGAACTCACGATCATGTATATAATTATGTATGTATACGAAAATTAACGCGATCACATAATATGTTGCATTATGTGATTGTGTTAGTTTTCGTATACATCGTATTACGTGATCATATTAATTCCCATATAGCATAATTTAAATCAGTAAAAGTCATCTAAAATTGGTTGCTTTTTTGCCCAGTTAAGTTGGTTACTTGGATGAAAATTACGTGTAAACATTTAAGTTAAACTTGATGCTACGAAGCGGCGCTAGTTCTTGTTTAATAATGTATTTAATACGTGCTTATAATAGATTATAAACTTGAAAAAGAAATATTATAAAAACACTAAAAAGTTACTCACCATCGAGAACGTGGCTGACAGATTCTTCTTTGGCATTTTGCTTCTGAGACGTCAAAGTTTCAACATGTGGATGGGTAGCTATGCCACCTTCTAATTCAAATTTTTGTTCATGAGATTTATCATTTTTATATCCTTCTACTCCTACTACTGAAGAACTAACTTTTGGTAAGACGCCAATGCCAGGCAGTTCCACATTTTCTTTTTGACCTATACCTGAGCCAAACAGAGAATCGACACCAGCGGCACTAACTTTTAAACTTGCATCAGCAATTGATGCATCTTCGTCTTTAGAGCCTATTGAACTATGAGAAGTTTTTGATAGATCAAAACTAGTTAGTTCTGCTCCAGAGGTCTTTACACCAGACTTTTCAAATGAACTACATCCTGGCAAGACACCGATATTAGGTACTCCTGTATTCGCATTTTGACTTAAACCAGAGCCAAGTACAGAAGAGACTCCACTATAATCTCCTTTAGCACTAAGCGCTGCGTTATTAGCAAATTTCTGTGCATGAATTTTGTCATTTTCATATCCTTCAACTATCCCAGATGAAATAACTCCTGACCCGAGACCAAAGCTCGGTAATTCTGTTTCTACTTGTTTACTTGAACCAAAGGCAGAAGCGATTTCACTAGCACCTCCTTTGGTACTAAGTCCTACATTATGAGCAAACTTTTGAGCATGAATTTTATCATGTTCATATTCTTCAACTGATCCTGATGAACTGATTCCTGATACGAGACCAACGCTAGGTATTTCTATGGATTCATACGTAGTTTTTGATACACCCAAACCCGTTACTTTTGAACCGGTAACTTTTCCTGATACATCTAAGGCACTGGACGCTGGCACAACACCAATGCCAGTTAATCCGATTTTAGCTTCTTGACCGGAGCTAGTATCAAATACTGAACTTAACCCAGCAGAACCACCTTCAGCTTTCTCATTTCCTATATTTAACGCTGCTTCTCCGCCTTCAGAGTTTATTGATTCAAAAGAAGTTTTTGATTTACCAAGACCAGTTATTTCTGCTCCCGTGGCTTTTATTCTAGAAGCCTCTAAAGAATTAGATCCGGAGCCACTACCAATACTAGGCAAGCCTAAATCAGCTTGACCTAAACCAGAGTTGAATATAGAAACGCTTCCGCTTGCACCTCCCTTTACAGCTACATTTTCAACGTCAAGCGCCACATCTCCACCAGTAGGGTGTATTGATTCGTATGTCGTTTTCGATACACCAAAACCAGTAACTTGTGCACCAGTGGGTTTTTCCCCAACTACATCTAAAGAACTAGATCCGGAGCCAAAACCAATACCAGGTAATTCTAAATTGGCTTGACTTAATCCGGAGCTCAATTTAGAAGCGCTTCCGGTAGCACCTCCCTTTACAGCTGCATTTTTAACGCCAAGCGCCACATCGCCGCCAGTAGGGTGTATTGATTCGTATGTTGTTTTTGATACACCAAAACCAGTAACTTGTGCACCAGTAGGTTTTTCCCCAGCTACATCTAAAGAACTAGATCTGGAGCCAAAACCAATACCAGTTAATCCTAAATTGGCTTGACTTGAACCGGAGCTCAATATAGAGCCGCTTTCAATGGCAGCTCCCTTTACAGCTGCATTTTTAACGCCAAGCGCCACATCTCCGCCAGTAGGGTATTGTATTGATTCGTATGTCGTTTTTGATACACCAAAACCAGTACCTTGTGCACCAGTGGGTTTTTCCCCAACTACATCTAAAGAACTAGATCCGGAGCCAAAACCAAAACCAGGTAATCCTAAATTGGCTTGACTTGAACCGGAGCTCAATATAGAACCGCTTCCGGTGGCACCTCCTTTTACAGCTGCATTTTCAACACCGAGCGCCACATCTTCGCCAGTGGGGTGTATTGATTCGTATGTCGTTTTTGATACACCGAAACCAGTAACTTGTGCACCAGTGGGTTTTTCCCCAAGTACATCTAAAGAACTAGATCCGGAGCCAAAACCAATACCAGGTAATCCTAAATTGGCTTGACTTGAACCGGAGCTCAATATAGAACCGCTTCCGGTAGCACCTCCCTTTACAGCTGCATTTTCAACGCCAAGCGCCACATCTCCGCCAGTAGGGTGTACTGATTCGTATGTCGTTTTTGATACACCAAAACCAGTAACTTGTGCACCAGTGGGTTTTTCCCCAACAACATCTAAAGAACTAGATCCGGAGCCAAAACCAATACCAGGTAATCCTAAATTGGCTTGACTTGATCCGGAGCTCAATATAGAAGCGCTTCCGGTAGCACCTCCCTTTATAGCTGCATTTTTAACGCCAAGCGCCACATCGCCGCCAGTAGGGTGTATTGATTCGTATGTTGTTTTTGATACACCAAAACCAGTAACTTGTGCACCAGTAGGTTTTTCCCCAGCTACATCTAAAGAACTAGATCCGGAGCCAAAACCAATACCAGGTAATCCTAAATTGGCTTGACTTGAACCGGAGCTCAATATAGAACCGCTTCCGGTGGCACCTCCCTTTACAGCTGCATTTTCAACGCCAAGCGCCACATCTCCGCCAGTAGGGTGTATTGATTCAAATGTCGTTTTTGATACACCAAAACCAGTAACTTGTGCACCAGTGGGTTTTTCCCCAACAACATCTAAAGAACTAGATCCGGAGCCAAAACCAAAACCAGGTAATCCTAAATTGGCTTGACTTGAACCGGAGCTCAATATAGAACCGCTTCCGGTGGCACCTCCTTTTACAGCTGCATTTTCAACACCGAGCGCCACATCTTCGCCAGTGGGGTGTATTGATTCGTATGTCGTTTTTGATACACCAAAACCAGTAACTTGTGCACCAGTGGGTTTTTCCCCAAGTACATCTAAAGAACTAGATCCGGAGCCAAAACCAATACCAGGTAATCCTATATGGGCTTCTTGGCCTATACTAGGGCCAAATAAGGAACCGATTCCTGAAGCAGTTCCCAGAACCGCTCCACCTCCGACCTCAAACGCTGCATCGCCGACTTTAGAGTCTAATGATCCGTAGGAAGTTCTGGGACCACCAAGACCTGTAGGCTCTACTCCAGAAGTTCTTGTGCCAGGTGCTACCGCATCTACAACAACCCCTAGGTTGTCATTTGTGTAGCCTCCGGATGGAACAGCAGGTGATTCGATGCCAATCGAACCCAATGGGGAGAATAAACCACCAGATTTTCTCGTGTTAAACAGACTAATGTACCTTTTTTCAATATTTGCTGCTTGACTGACCGCGAGCACGGCAGTTAATATAACCTGAAAGAAACAAAAGGACTGGGAGTTAGTTAATGGTTTCTTTAAAATAACCAATTTATTTTTATAAAATATATACACGGTGATTTTGAAAGCGTTTTGGAAAAGAAAATTTTGAGTTATTTATCAGTAACAGAAGCTATATATAACGTTAATTTAATAAAATATATATTTTTTTATCATCAAAGTCGATATTCATATCGTTTACAGAAAAAAAGTCAGAACCAGTAGTAGTAGGCTATTCAATCACACGTAGGTAAATACTACGAATAGAAATACTATGCGTTTTAATATCGAGTCACATCAAATCGTATTCGCCAATAAAAACAAAGCTACCGAGTTGCGCCGGAGTCGTCCAACCAATGACGTCTGCCCCGTAGGCGCATGCGCGGGGCTCACCTGTCATCGTCAGTCGGTCAGTAATACCATAACATCGTGACGGCACGCTGCATTGATTAGCGCTAAAATGAGTCGACAGTACGAATTTTCAAACGTGGAATACTTCTTGGCAATGGTACAGCTGTACGCTACTGCCAACTACAACTTGGAAGAGGCTCGGCGTTTGTATTCCCAAGCCGGAGCATTTAAATGCACTACGGCTACGTGGAATTGAAAGCCCTCAAATTCCCTCCACACCTACCATCTTGGCTGCAACCCAACGTCTTCTCGACCACGGACAATTTCGTGCGCCTACTCATGCGCAAGGTCAAGGACGTTTTAATTATTATTCGCCGGAGTGTAGTGCGTGCATACCTGGACAATGAGCTTAGTGATCGGACTTAACGCCCCTGGATTTTTCTTATGGTCGGAAATTAAAAGACTTGTTAATACACGGGAATATGAAAGCCGTGATAATTTACGCATTGCGATAGTGGACGCTTTAAAGTGAAAAGTGATAGAGACACATTAAGAAAATTAAAAAACAATTGCATTAAACGTGGACGTTTGTGTATTGAATGCAGCGGACTCCATTTTGAGCAGTTCCTTCGATACAGAGAACTGTAAATAGTGTAAATAGGTATGTAAGTTAATTATTCTGTAGATAGCTCCGATTTTTTAAATACGCCTGAAATATTTATACCTACAGTCCGTTGATAAATTGATTTGTTGTGAAAAGAACAATCGTGGTTAATAATCGAAAAGAAGTTTAAATAAAATAGGTATTTCTGACGGTCCTAAGCCCGTGTAAAGTATGAAGGACAAATTGGAGTCTATCTACGTAAGTACTCGCTAGCTCGCGCCTATAGGTATAGTTTTGTCAGCTGCTGTTAGCGTCGGCGGTGCGCAGCGGCCGCCGAAACGCCCACGGACGTGTTTCATTCATATAAGATAATGAATGAACGATCAGTCCATTACTACTTTCCAAGTCGATCGAGTAAAAATGAATATTAAAACTGAAACTTTTTTTTAGACAACATTACAATTGATTTAATCATTTTTATTGGTACTATAGATGATTCCAAATTCAAATATTTCGTTTCCAAAACGCTTTCAAAATCACCGTGTATATAATATGTAAAATAAAAACCTAGTTTATGGAAACATTTGTATGTGTCATAAAACATTTGTAAAACATATCTGTCTAATAAAAAGGTGGAAAAGACAAAGCTATGCAAATACTATGGTAATGTAGTCTCTCTGTAAATGTATTTTATGGCATATCCTAAATTTATAATATTTTAAACAGACTTAAAAAAATAGTAGGTTAAAAAAAAGTATGTTTATTACGTCAAAAACGTTATTCATGAACCGATTTTCAGAATACTCTTTATGTATAATTATGTCTAAGAAAAGAAACACCCTCGCGATAGGTATTAAGTACAAACCTTTGAAATGCCTGATGTTTCGAGGGCGAAATGCGAGTTTATTTCACTTACACTCGATCCTCACGGTGACCGCGTTAGGCGTTGTGATTGGCCTGCATTGAAATCTTCACCAATCGAGATCGAGTTGAAATGAAATAAAATCACACTTACGCCTCGGGTAGCACTGACCGTGGTAACCGTGGTAATAACCTATCGTGATCGCGTAAATTCCCGTCAACATAACTATGATACAATAGTACACTAATTAAATTAGTAGTAATTTTTTTTAAATTAAATAATGTATACTTTAAATTTAATTCCATTCAAATTTGTAGAAAAAAAAAGCGTTGGGTGCATGTTGTCAATGGTAAAAAGAACCACACGCTTTCTTTCAAATTTATTAAAATTTATTTTCTATTTTTTAGTTTGTTAGTTTCTATAAAAAGCGTGTTTTTTAGTTTTTTTAAACTATTATTATTTTATTTAATATTATTTATTTTTATTTTAAATTAGTGTACTGTCTTCGGTCCTGGATATATCTACAAAGTTTGAACGAATTCTAACCGTTTAAAGTCAGTCAAAATCACGCCCAAAGGAGTCGGTTACAAAGAAAAGAAGAATACAGTTTATTTGATCATTCAGCTTCTACTTTTCTAGAAATTAATTGTGTTTCGTCCGAAACGGTTGAACTGATTTTCACGAGAATTTTATTTTACCTAATGCCACTGTTAGATTTAGATCTCTTTTTGTAAATACACATATACATATAATACATAAAAAAACATCCAAACTCCGAAACAAATATTTGTGAACCAAAAACCTCAGCACAGCAGTCGCATACGCTACCACTGCACCCCCGAGGCAGTCGTTGTATTCATACACCATTATTGAAATACACAGATACAGAACAAATTATCTTCCTTATCACTCAATTATTTGTACTAAGTAGTGATCGAAAAGTGATCGTGTTAATGGCGATAATTCCTAAAGTACCTACAGCTATTTCCTTATTGAAAAACGCCTTTTTTAGTATTTTTTTAGGAAACTGACTTTAGTATACCTAAAGAAGTATTTTAAAATTACGAATTTCTAAATAGTACCTACTCATCATCAACAGCCTTTACTAGTCCACTGCTGGACAAAGGCCTCTCCTTAGAAAGGAGGTTTTGGCCTACTATACCACGCTGGCCAGACGGGTTGGTATAGGGTTTGAGTCAAGTTTTCTTTCTCTCTGCAGTGCTGTTGTCCTGCGTAGTTTGGTCCCTTAATCGCCTCTTACGACACCCACGGGATGAATAGGGGTGGTGACACTCTGTATTCTTAATCGGTATTTATTTTTCTTTTTCTTTTTATATTTGACTATTGTCACAATATGAGTTAAACACCTAGTTGAGATATGGGCACTGCTTCGAAATCGAATATCCAGGAAATTCAAGTCTTAGTAAAGCAATAAAAACACTTTATAACTACGACTACCTAACACCAACACTTAAAATCTACAAAGATACCAAAATCCTAATAATTAAACAACTATTTATACTTAAAACTTGTATATTAATACGTATAATTATAACACAAGGTACACATTCACAATTAAGCTTTAAAAAAAAAAATCTATACTCGTACTGCAAAGCAAGGAAACGAAAAATAATTTATTATTAGTTATTACATATCCTCATTATATAAGTGAACTGTATTGTTCTTTTCCTTTGAGAAATGAACATCTTTAAACTGATATGCGGTCGTTGGTGTCAACCGGTGTACCACGCGTGATGTCATTGTCAAACATGCTTTTGTGAGCATTATCTACCTGTGATTAACAGTATAAACAAATTTTTAAACTAATACGTTGACACATCTTACACACAGCGTGTTTCCAAACTAGACTACTACTAACTAAATGAATTATGTGCTGCCAGATTTGGGTTAATCTTGTATGCAATATACTTTATTAAACTTTTGTACTTTAGAAAAAAGAAAAAAAAAATTGACAAATCCAATAGTTTGGACTTGGTAACTATGGTCTTAGGATGGAGACAGATACGGTTTTTTATTAAACTGTAAAAAAACAGTGTGAGGGGTCTATGGACTCCGGTCAGAATGAGGTTCCTTTTGCTTTTTAGTAGACGTTTAATAGATATAATGGGACTAATCCCACCTACACGCCCACCACTGTAACTCCTGTACACCAGGATCCATAGTGACCTACGAACACACCGATTTATGACAGTCCCAGGAAGAAATTAAACTGTTTTGGAACCCGCAACGAAATTAATCAGTAGAAAATTGGAGGAGTTGGAAATACAGAAATAAAGATAATAGATATATGATAATAGATATATGAAAAGAAATAAATTTAATAGATATATGAAAAAGATGTGATCGTTAACGCGCCAAATAAAGCGTCGGAAAAAAGTCTTGTTACCCCTTTTTGCGGTCTCGCTCCCACTCACGCGGTATAAGGAACTTTGATTCAATATTATACAAATAAGTAATTTATCGTGGATAACTTGTAAACGAGATATCAAATACACTATCACCATCATCGTCATGCAAAAAGCTTTTTAAGAAACTAGACTGGTAATTTTTTTGTACAAAATCTTTTTTTCTTCAGATAGGGATAATATAGCAAACTTAATAAGCTGTTAAATTTTTTGAAAACTTATCTAAATATAAAAATTATTATATTAGATTCAATTAGATTGAATAACTATTTAAATGTTAACATATAAGGTTAAAATTTTTATCTACTTAGTAATAATAATAATTTCACACATCTCACACACGGCCGTCTGATGCCAAACTAGGCAGAGCCTGTACTATGGTAACCAGACTGCTGATAAACACACTTATGTATTTCTAAATACATACATATTATAGATAAATTACACCCAGACAGAGAACAAATCATCGTGCTCATCACACAAGTATTTGTCCTGGGTGGGAAGCGTCAGGGTCGCTAACCAGTAGACCAACAGGCCTGTCACTGGTCTTATAGAAAAGGATATTTAGCATCAATATTGATTTTAACTATTATTGAAATCAAGTTCCTTCTAAGAGTATTTAAACTACATACCTACTTATATTATAAACCAATGATATTTCTCACTCTATAAATCCACTTCTTTATCCTCTCAGAACTAATATTTGTGATTAGATAGGGTATAATCTCACAAGTGGCAGAGAACCCTACGGCGTATGGCTAATCAACAGTGGCTCCACATACATAAATTCTTACATTTTCTCTTAGTTTCCGATATTATTATCACAATTAATAATGAAAAAAAAAGAGAAAACATATGGGCATAAATAAATATTTTACATCTATTAAGAATAAAATAGTTTCGAAAGTTTAACAGTTCCAATTGTGTTATTATACAAAAGCACTTCACACACAAAACACAAAATATATTACCAATATCATTGTCCTTATCCCTCTGGGGGATTCGCGTTCACACCAGAGCCCACACTATACTGGTTGCGTAATGTGACAACTTTTGCTTTTTATAGCCTTTGAAAAGACTTCTAAAAAACGAGCTTACGTGCTCTAACTAGTTTTGTTTTGCATCTCCTTCCAACTTAACTTCATGTCGTTGACTTTTATCACTATGTACATAAAGACCATATTTGTTTCTACTTTAACTTTGGAATTGCATGTTTATTTTTGGACAGATGCGCATATATGCTCTAAGCTTATTATTTTTATTTTTTTATTAGTGATGATCTATATTTTTTTATTATCTTTAAACTATTGGGATTTTTGTGGATTCGGTATTTAAAAAAAAAAACTTAGTCAGATGAAGGATAGAAAAATAGTTCTAGTTTTAAATTTATTCTTGATATAAATTGAATGCTACTTTTTGTCGTAACGATTACGCTTCGTCACAGAAATGATCAACCCATGGACTCCTGGATAATTAGAGTTAAGAGACATAAGACGCAACTGAAAACTGAATTACTAAAAATTTCGTCCGTGTGGTGACATATTAAGAATACAGAGTGTCACCACCCCTATTCATCTCGTGGGTGTCGTAAGAGCCGACTAAGGGAGAAAACTACGCAGAACAACAGTACTTCAGAGAGAAGGAAAACTTGACACAAACCCTATACCAACCCGTCTGGCCAGCGTTGTATAGTAGGCAAAAACCTCATTTCTAAGGAGAGGCTTATGTCCAGCAGTGGGCTATTAAAGCTGTTGATGATACTAAAAATTTCATTTAAAACTGTTTCATTTAAATTAACTAAAGAATTACAGCGCTTTATATGACTTCTCCATAAGGAGGGTTACATTTTGCAAGTTGTCTAAGACTTGAGTTTTTTTTTTAAATACCACTCCCACTCTAGGAATATATCCTGTATAGCGGGAGACTTAACATACATGAAACAGACACAAAGAACACCCAGACTCAGAATAACAATTTGTGGATCACACAAAGTGTTGCCCATGTGAAGATCGACCCAACAACTGTGCAGTTTTGGCATTTTTTTGTCTGTGCAGTTCTCCCCTCGGATACCACCCACCAGTGGGTGATTATGTCGGAATCGAACCGACCAAAAACCGCACGGTACCAGTACCAGTACCAGTAGCCGGGGAACCAGCCGACCACCTTTCCTGTCCTGATACCCCGACGTACCTCGGTCCATCAACGGATTATAGATGACCCCTCCTGTGTGGGAACCCTGTGCAGTTTTGGCCTGGGATATGTCTTTAGACTCTTCTTAATTGTGAGAGTGGCACTGGGTATATGAAAATTATAGAAATTAAAATTTGACGGTTTATAGAGTTTATGTACCTATACATTTACACACAGTCGGGTTTTTTGTTTTCCTCTCTTAATAATTAGCTTGTTTTTAAATTTAATATAATTATTTCATTTCATAAATAAATATAATATTTATTTATAAATTGACATAATTAAATTATAGCTACGCAACTCCGGTTTCTTTGAGCTAATGCAGTCTAAGTCTCGTTTCTGAATCCGCAGCTAGCGGTATCCCTCACGTTATCCCTCGCCCTGTTTCTTTACTCTAATTACCTTCTTCCTATAACCCGTCTGAAAGCGATTTAATTTCTGAGGAGAATTGACGTGAGATAGGCGGCCGGCCATAAAATAAATCAGCCATAACTATGTGCAATGTTACACATTACGCAGACCCAGAATTAAAAATAGTCATAGTCGTAGAATAGTGTCTGATCTGACATTTATTGAACTTAGGCTAAGGCTTATTTAAGGCTTTAAATGGCTGCCATTTCAAATAATTGACTTGATTGATTGAATCGACTGCACTTATGGCGTAGTGGTTTAAGCGGTCGCCACGCCGCTTCCTACTACGCCGAGTGTTGTTCCGAGTCTGGGTGTTATTTGTGTCCGTTTCATGTATGTTTGTAAAGTCCCCCGCGACACAGGATATTTTCCTAATGCGGGAGTTGTCTTTTTTTTAAATAAAAAAAATAAAATAAAATAAGTTATTTTTTGACATAACTTTTTTAATTCTAAATTTGCAATTATAAAATATGAGCAATGTAACACATTACGCACACCCAAACTTAAAAAAGTGCAAAAAATGATGAAGATGATATATAGATAATCCAATAAAATAAAAAAACTCACGAGTGTACACAGTTTCGCCATAACTCCTCAGGTATTTCTCCAACTTTGTTATAAAACTTTAATAAACCGTATTAATCACTCGACTTAAATATTTGTAATTAATAAATTACTTAAAATACGTTTGAATTCACGTAAATCGTAGGCTTTAATGGTGGAAGGTCTTTTAATCTACGAAATAGAACACAAAGACTATTTTAATACGTAAATATATTATTCATTTAACCAGTAAAAGAATTACCAGACTTACTCGTTTTATCTTAAGTAGATGTGCTTCCTGATCGATGATGGAAAAAAACTTATATCTAATTTATATATTTATATTGCCAGTTGACGTCCCTGACCTGAGATCGCAGTCCTCCCCACTTCTGAGCCTCTTCAAGCTTCTCTCTCAATTCAGTTTTACGTTCCGAGATTTGCAATATCTTTTAGCCTAATTCCCTTCGTAATTACCCCAAATTACCGTCTACGGTTGTCCATTCTGAAAATTTTATTTATGTCACACAATTTTTACAGGTTATGTACCCTTTTTTTTTTTCCGTGCGGAAATCCTCTCGGATACCACCTGTCGGTGGCATGTCGGACTCGAACCGACTAAAACCGCACGCCGTCTCGGGTACTAATAGCCGGGGAACCAGGTATACCCTAGAAAGGAAGTCCCTGGTGCAAAGGTTATGTACCCTAATATAATAGTGTAGCCATCCGTTGTTAAAAGTATGTATAATATGACATTGATAATAATAATTTCACACATCCCACACACGACCGTCCGATACCAAACCAAGCACAGCCCGCACCACGGCAACCTGACCAATCAGCGGCCTTTTTTTTTGGAGTATGTGGTGATGCCACTAAAAACCACCCCGATATGGTCTGGGAGGACTCGGGAGGACGCGACGTGGCGGCCCAATTGCGTCTCTCTCTAATGCTATCAGGACGCCATCCTATCCCCTACCGCAGCATTCAATTGCCCCGTCGGCGGTTGGAATCGTCGCCGCCGTCCTCTACGCTAGGATTCGGCCCTCTCCCGGTCCTGTTAACGTTGGCGAACCACAAGGCTTCCGTCTTATGAGACCCAATCCCAGACCGCTGATGTTTTGGAGGACACAAGCCACCCCTATCCTCCTAACCAGTACTAGAGAATCGTCTGCGTAGCAGACCACGCTCAATCCTGGGGGAAGGCTGGTCCTCAGAACGGCATCATACGCAAGGATCCATAGAAGGGGTCCTAAGACCGATCCCTGGGGAATCCCACATGTGACTTCCCTTCGACATTCTTCGCCGTCCCGACCCATATACGATATGGATTTGTAGCGGAGATAGACCCTGATGATGTCTCGCAGGTAGAGGGCAACTGATGATACACCAGTGCCTGCCTAATCACCTACCCCGGGGATAGAGTTAAAGGCGTTGACTATGTCAAGACTGAAGGTCGACGCAACTCCCCCCACAGATTTTAACGAAAATTTGCATGAAGATACTTTGATTCATGATTAAGGACATAGGCTTTTTTCTGCCGACATTACCGACATACATGCGGGTGGAACCGCGGGCAAAATCTACTAATATTACCTATATATATGCGGCAGTAACTCTGTCTATCTGTCAGTGTCTGATTTTAATTAAATTTTGAATGGAGATACTGGAGATGTACACATTGCATTATATTTTAAAAACTAGATTTTTGTTTAACCTTCGCTGTCGATTATCAAGATATTCACTATTCTATTCTATAAATAGTACATTTTTTACTGGGTGAAAGATACACTAGGTATAAGTTTATACTCCTAACAACGCTCTCGTTTGTTAATAAATACAGTAGATAATCGATTAAGTTTTAAAACAATTTTTTACTTTCATATGAATCATATTAATTTAGGTAGATTGATTAAAGGCTGTACATGATCATCAAATCATCATAGTCGTAGAATAGTGTCAGATCTGACATTTATTGAACTTTACAGGGCAGCCATTTTAAATTATGAAAATTGCCCTACAAGTGAAAAAATAAGGTTTGTTTTTTAAATATAAATAAAAAAAAATGCAATAAAAATAAACAACTGATAATTATAGAATTTTCTATAAAAGTCACATGCTGCATTTTACATTGAGCGCCTATCAAACAAACACTGAATAGTTTAAAATCTGAAATACTTTACTTTATTACTATTTTTTTCTTGAATAGAGTAATAATATTTAGACAATGTAGCATAAACCGACATTATTTTACGAGCATAACGAATTGATAAACTTTCTTGAGTGAGTGGTATTCTTTTTGAGATTTCAAATTTTTAAGGTTGTAGAGTGTGACGCCTCCCTTTTCTTATCACGACACTTAACTCTTTGAAAAAGAACCTCGGCGGGTCCGAAACACATCTTTAATAAAAATCAAAAGTTATATTGATCCAAACTCTCTGCCCTAGGTATTTTAAGTTACAAACTAGTTGATGTCATTCAAAGATTGAAGCGTCTCGTAGCATCATTAATTTACATACTTACTACTTTAAACTTGTTGACTAGTTTTATAATGGTATGCGTCAGGAATAGGTTTGAGAAAATGTCACTACCAACTCTGATACTTGTTTTGACATAGGTTGACACGGACATTCTGCATCACAAGGTCAGTCAAAACTCACTTAGTCAGGAAGGCGAATAATCCCTTTCGTACAAACAATAATTACTATTCTTAAAGGGATGTTAATCCAGATTTACTTTTATTAATAATTACGTGGTACCACACCTTTTTCGATTCTCCGATGGCGACGTTTCAATCGAATCACGAGTACGATTGTCACGATCACGAGTGGACTCGATTCAATTCCATCGAACGTATGGGTACCAGAATTCATGTACATATCTGTACACAAATGTACATATCTCAAAATAAATGCATAAACCTCATCGAAATAACCTGAGAGCACACTGTTCGTGTAGATCATTAGTGTTAGCAGAGTACCACATTATCCTTAAAGTGGCATTACACTAAACTAACAACTATTTTCGACTCGGGCACAGGTATTTTATGAAGTAAGTTATACTTAATCATGTTTAATAAATCTTTGATATCTGCGTATGAGCTCAAAATTGCGCGAAGTCACGAACAACGCCAATAAGTAGACAAAGAACATCGAACGTTCAGTTTTTGGCTAACTTGTCTGTAAAAACATCTTTTCACTTAAGTTATGGGAACATCCTAGCACTGAACACACCTAGTGGAAAACAATAAGCATTAATAATAGGTGTGTGGGCGTCATATTTATGAATTAACCGTAAACTTGAATAGTTACTATACTAAAAATCTCAATGTAAATGTCACTTAACCGGTTCTCCCTTTGTCTATTTTAACGTAAAACATGACAAATACGGTCTTTTTGCTGTCTATTTAGAATTGTGTTTTAGGAAAAATCTGATTACAGGTTGAACTAGTTTTGACAACGTTTTAAATTAAGGATGGTTATGTTAGAACTTGTTTGATATTATTACTGGAATTTTAAAGATTCACTTACCAGTGGTTGAGTGCAGTTTGACTTAAAATAGTTTGTTATTATGACAATTAACTCTAACGTTTAACTTGATAATTTGTTTTTATAGATAGGTTTTCATATTTCTGTTTAGTCTGAGCTGCGGTATACTGGGCTACATACGCAGTGGTAATCATTTTCCATCAGATCACCTGTCTCTTATTTTGCCCCTATATCATTAAATACCTATATTAATTGGTTATTCTACTAATGATACATCGGTCATTAAACTTTGTCGTTAACCGGTTTCAGTAATTTGGAAGTTGCAAAGCATTTCTTTAATATTCATACCTTAGAGAATGTGTGATTACATGATTTTAATTCGATGCGTTTGTATTATTTATAACTTATTAGTACCTTTTTTTTTTTTTTTTTTTTTTTTTTCCGTGCGGAAATCCACTCGGATACCACCTGTCGGTGGCATGTCGGACACGAACCGACTAAAACCGCACGCCTTCGCCGGGTACTAATAGCCGGGGAACCAGGTATACCCTAGAAAGGAAGGCCCTGGTGCCCCGACATACCTCGGGTCATCTACAGACGAGTAGACGACCCCCGCCCCGTGTGGGAACCCCATGTTCCCTGTGCTCCCTGGAAGCGAGCGCGCTTCGCAACGCGCTCGCCGCCACCCCGGCCTGCTTCTGCTAGGGCGACAGATGGCCGCACCTGTCACCCCCAGGCCTGCGCTTATGGAGGACGTAGGTCGTTCTGCGACCTCCGGCGCCTGAGTCGCCTGCGCTGCCTGGCCCGTGCCCGGGCCTGGCGGGCCGGGAGAGTTCTAAACCTCTCCCGGTCCCGCTCCGCCGTCTCCTTCGCGAGCATAACTTGCTCGCAGAAGGAGACGGCAGAGTTCCACGCACTCTCGCTCCGCACGATAGCCGCAATCAGGCTATCGAGCGAGAGAACTCCCACTCCGATGGCCGCCACGAGGTCTCGCCTCTGCTCAACCCACGCCGGGCACTCTGCCAGTGTGTGGAGAGCCGTGTCCACGGTCTGGCCATCGCAGTAGTGGCACTCAGGCGTTGGCTCCTTGCGGATCAGACACAGGTGATCTCCGAAACATCCCTTCCCAGTGATCACCTGCGTCAATCGGTATGAGAGGGTCCCGTGACGCCTCTCGAGCCAATCCTCCATAACGGGTCTTACCGCCGCAATGACGGCGTGCCCAGCGCTCGGTTGCCCGAGTCGTTCCCTCCACTCCCCTATGATGACCTGGCGGAGTTGGGATTTCCGGTCATCGATTTCTCGAATCTCGGGGCATCGACCCAACTCCTGCGCCTCCTTGCGCCACTGATACAGTGCCGCAAGGGCTCTCGCCTCAACTTATTAGTACCTAGATTAATAAAATAAATTACAAAGTAAAGAAACCACTTCTTTTTTGTATAATGTTTATGTAGAAGTGGTGTCCGTACGTGTGGTGATGGATTAAGAATACGGAGTGTCACCACCCCTATTCATACCGTGCGTGTTGTAAGCCGACTAAGCGAGCAAATTACGCAGGAC